AGAACCTTTATCATGATGGGTTGTTGGATTTTGTCAAAGACATTTTAGCATCTAATGATATGATTATGTTTTTTTCTTTCAGTTTGTTCATATGGTATATTACCTTGACAGATTTGCAAGCTTTGTACCTCCCTACATCTCTGGGATGAATCCTACTTGTTCCCAGAGAATGATTTTTTGATGTCTTCTTGGATTTGGTTTACCAGTATTTTGTTGAGTGTGTTTTGCATCAGTGTTCATGAGGGAGATTGGTCTGTAATTCTCTTTGTTGCATCTTTGTTTGGTTTGTGAATCAGGGTAACTGTGACCATATAAAAAGCATTTGGGTAATATTCTGTTTTTATTGTGCTGAAAAATTTGAGTAGTAGTGGTATTAGCTCTTTGTAATTCTGATAAAATTCTGTGTTGAAGTCATCTGGCCCTGGGCATTTCTTAGTTGGGAGACATTTAATTACTTTTTATTTTCATAGGATTATAAATTTGTTCAAATATTTACCCGTTCTTGACTTAATTTTTGTATGTGGTACCTATCAAGAAACTTTTATTTTTCTTTTGGATTATCCAATTTTGTGGAGTCCATGTTTGACCTAATAATACTCTGTATTTCCTCAGTTTGTGTTTATGACTCCCTTTTGTTTTGGATTTTGCTAATTTGCATATTCTCTTTGATTTTGATATGTTTGGATAAGGGCATGTCTATCTTGTTAATTTTCTCAAAGAAGCAACTCTTTATTTTATTTATTCTTTGTATTGTGCTATTTGCTTCTATTTTATTGATTTAAACCCTGAGTTTATTGTTTCCTGCCACATACTTCTTGCTGAATTTGTTTCTTTTTGTTCTAGAGCTTTCAGGTGGACTGTTAATTCTCTTGTGTGAGATTTCTTCAAATTCTTCATGTACACATTTAGTGCTGTGAACTTTTTGTTAACACTGCCTTTAATGTGTCCTGTAAGTTTGGGTGTATTGTGGATTTATTGTTGTTGAATTCTGAGAGGTTCTTAATTTTGTTATTTCTTTTTTGATTCAGCAATGGTTCAAAATGATTGTTGTTCAGAACTGCTTGATTACCAATATTCTTTTCTGGCTCCCTCTGAATCTTAGGATTCTTCTTCTTTTTGTCACAAAGAATGTTTTGGGGTTTTTTTTTGGATTACATTGATTTCACAAATTGCTTTTGCAAGCTGATAATTTCACACTACTAATTCTACTAAGTTAGTGTATAGGATATCTTTCATTTTCTGGTGTTGAGATATCTTTTTTCAGAGATTTATTTTTCATTGTAGAGTATTTTCTCCTCCTTAGTTAGATTTATTCCAAGGAATATTATCAAACTGTATTAGAAGTGTGTCCATAATCTCCATCTCTCTTCATCTCATCTTGTTGATATATGAAAGACTACATGTTTTTGCAAGTTGTTTTGTAGGTTGACTTTACATTTTGCTTCAGTGTTGAAATTGTTGAATATTGCTACAAGTTTTCTAGTGTAATACTCTGCAAATGAAGATAATTTTATTTCTTCCTCTTCTTCTTTAACTTCCTTTTCTGGTTACTTTTGCACATCTTGTTCTTTCTTTCTTTGTTGGTGTTCTTCTTCATCTTCTTATTCTTTCTCTTCACTGCCTTCTGTTTACTCACATCTCATCTTTGCTTCTTTCTTCAGGTAATCTTACTGGACTGACTCCACCCATTTATCTAAATGTTATGGCAGACAGTGCTTATTCTTTCTCCTGTACTCAGGTGTCCCTGATTGAGTACCATTAAAGATAGATCAGTGTGCCATTCTTCATGACAGACTCCTGAGGAAAAGGATCAGAGGATTAAAAGATAAGGAAGATAAGAAAGTTGGGTTCAGGGGGTCTTGCATAAAGTATGTCTTATGCCAAATGAGCATACAAAGGGGAGAAATTGGACTGAATCTGAACTATGCTATTATGTACTGGAATAAAGTGATAAGGAAGCTAATCAAGCAATGTTGTACTAAGAAAGCAGAATATAAAAATTGTGTTCATTTTTCTTTTTTTAAATTTGTATTATTTTACTTATTTATTTTAAAAACTATATTTTCTTATTTTACATTCTAATACCAACTTCTACTCCCTCCCCTCCTTCCATTCCCAACACCTTCTCCCCCTTTACATGCTGTCACTCACTCTTCAGAGAGGGTCAGTCTTTCTATGGGAGGTCAACAACGTGTAGTACATTGCTTTAAGGCAGGACCAAGGCCCTCCCCACTATATCTAGGCTGAACAAGTAACCCTACGAAGAGAATGGGTTCACAAAAGTCAGAATAGCAGTAGGAATAAAACCTGGTCTCACTGCCAATGACTCCACAGTCTGCCCCAGCCATACAACTCTCACCCACATTCAGAGGACCTCATTTTGTCCTATGTTGTTTCCTTTACTGTCAGGCCATAGTTGGTAGGCTCCCATTAGCTCAGGTAAACTGCTTCAGTGGATATCCCCCATCACAGATTTGTCCTCTTTGCTCATATTACCACTCCTACTACTCTTTGACTGGACTTTGGGAGCTCAGTCTAGTGCTTCACTGTAGATCTCTGCCTCAGCTCCTGGATGTAGGTTCTATGGTGACATTTAAGGTAGTCATCAATCTGACTACAGGGCAAGACCATTTTTGGTACCCTTTCCACTATTGCTTAGTGTCTTAGTGAGGTCATTCTTGTGGATTCCTGGGAATTTCTCTAGTGCAGTGCTTCTTACTAGCCCCATGATGGCTCCCTCAATCAAGATATCTATTTCCTTGCTCTCCGTCTCTGTCCTTCCCCCATCTTGACCTTCCCATTCTCTCAAGTTTCCTCCTCCTTTCATTCTCCCCTCCTTCTCCCCTTCCACCTTCCTTTTCCCACCAATCCCCTTGCTCCCAATTTTCTCAGGAGATCTTGCCTATTTCCCCTTCCCAGGCAGATTTATATATGTTTCTATTAGAGTTTTTCTTGTTGTGTAGCTTCTCTGTGGTCATGAATAATAAGCTTTTTGTCTTTGCTTTATAGCCAGTATCCACTTATGAATGAGTATATACCATGCTCATTTTTCTGGTCTGGATTAACTCACTCAGGATGTCTTTTTCTAGTTTCAACCATTTGCTTGTGATTTTCAAGATGTCATTTTTTAAACACTGAATAGTACTTCATTGTGTAAATATACCACATTTCCTTTATCTATTTTGCAGTTGAGGGGCATCTAAGTTGTTTTTAGGTTCTAGCTATTACAAATAATACTGTTATGAACATAGTTGATTAATTGTCTTTGTAGTCAGACCTATGAAAATTACTCCCAAATTCTCAATGGACACTCTGAAACCCAGAAGATTTTGGACAGATTGCTGCAGACACTAAGAGACCATGGATACAAGCCCATACTATACCCACCAAAGCTTTCAACCACCATTGATGGAGAAAACAAGATATTGCATGGCAAAAGCAAACTTAAACATTCCCTATCCACAAATTCAGCAATACAGAAAGTACTAGAGGGAAACGTCCAATCCAAGAAAGCTAACCATGCCCAGGAAAACACAGGCCACAGATAACCTCACAACAGCAAATCCCAAAAGAAGGGAAATGCACAAACATTACCACCGAAAAATAACAGGAATTAACAATCACTGTTCATTAATATCTCTTAATATCAATGGACTCAATTCTCGTATAAAAAGACACAGACTAAAAAATGGATACAAAAACAAAATCCATGATTTTGCTGTATACAAAAAATAATCTCAATCTCAAATACAGGCATTACCTCAGAGTAAAGTGTTGGGAAAATATTTTCCAATCAAATGTACCTAAGAGTCAAACAGATACAGCTATATTATTATTAACAAAATATACTTCAAACTGAAGTTAATCAGAACAGATGGGGAAGGACATTTCATTCTCAGCACAAAAAATCCATCAAGATAAAGTCTTAATCTTGAACATCTATGCCCATGTTCTTTATATTAGGACCTCAAGAAAGCTTGGGATAGTCTTTCTCCCAACAAAACCACGATTTTTATATTTTAGTGAAAGTAATTCTTAAATATTTTTATGTTTTCATTTTTGTTCTTATTTGTGTGTGATAGGCTTATTATTGCATTGTAATTAATGTGAAACATGCTAACATATAATATATCCATATATAATGTATTTTGCTGAAAGTTTTTTATTATTACATATTTTTTTCTTCTATCACTTTTGCTGTTTGTCTTCTTATTCCAAATTATTCTTCCTTCTATTCAGATGTCTTTTAAAAGATTTTGGTGACTCAATGACTACAATAAGGGCTAATTTTCAATAGCCTGTACACTGAAGTCGCTTGCAGGAGCACAGAACCCTACTTGTGTATTCACTGCTAAATGAAATGTTTCTTATTTCCCTAAGAATCATTATCTCCTTATAAATCCTCAAAATGACATGTCCACATGAGCCTTTCTCTTCCCCATATTGGAGTGTTCCTGGGTCATAGCTTATGCAGTTCTTTTGCAGGTAATTTGACACTTCAGATTTTTAGATTGCAATGGCCTTCTACATCAGAGAAGGTGGCTGTTCCCAGGTCTCTAGTAGTTCATCTTGACTCTAAAGATTTTTAAGATAGTATTTTGATTATTTGCATATATATATATATATATATATATATGTGTGTGTGTGTGTGTGTGTGTGTGTGTGTGTGTGTGTGTGTGTGTGTTAACATGAGTGCAATGTACACAAAGACCAGCAGAGTATTTTGATCCCTTTGATCTGGAACTGCAGACAGTTTTAAGCCACCTGATGTGATGCTGGGAGCTGATCTCAGGTCTTCTGAAAGAGCAGCATATGCTTCTAACAGCTGAGTCTTCTCTCTATCCCTAGTTTGAATCTCTTTTGGTGAATATTTATTGAAAATTAAGCATAAAACTTGCCACCAGGAAGATGGTCAGTATCTATTAAGGAAGTAGTGATGGCTTTATACATGTTTTGTAACCAATCTCATGGAGGGAAAATATATTTTATTTGTATTATAGACTCTTGGTCCAGGTGGACTTATGAAAAGAGGTATCACTAGGTCTGAGAATGAAGAATGGAAGAGACTTCGAACATTGTTGTCTCCAACCTTCTCCAGTGGAAAACTGAAAGAGGTAAGAAAATGGAGGACTTTTCACTGTAAATGTAAATGACTGTATCTGAGGACAGGTAGAGTAATATCATACTCATCACAATCCTTTGAGTATAATATCCTTCAGAATGGCTTTTGTTCTTTCAAGGTCTTACACAGACCATTAAAATATGTAACTGGCCTTTCATAATTTCAAAAGCCTTGTTATGTTGGGACTCAGAACCTTACATTAACAACAGACTGTGTTGTGTTTTGTGATTAGATGTTCCCCATCATCCAGCATTATGGAGATTCACTGGTGAAACACATTGGTCAGAAGGCAGAGAAAGGCAAGCCTGTTAACATGAAAGAGTAAGTGGTGATAAATGCCTTTTCTGGGACCTATTTGACTCATCTGGAGATCTCTCCAGGATTTCTGGTAGCTAATATTCTCTGTGTTAATTATTCCAGAACAGTGTTCCCCTTGTTGACTTAACCCAGAGCTAGAGTAAATGTGGGGTGAGATGTTACACAGCTGTGAACTATTTGAGAAAGGCAAACTCCCAAATTACCTTGGTTAACATAGTTCACCCCCTACTGTGTGCAGGAAACAATATTAGATTAACTGTTGTCACCCTGCATATTCTGGAAGACAAACTATATATCTTAGAAAGAACATAATCTTAGGACAGCTCAGTTGTGGAGATTGGGAACTGTGGGAGGAGAGTGTATATGGAACATCCTCAGGAGTTGGTTTGGCTAAGAGTGTTACAGACTGTAACTTTGAAAAATCAAAAATCATTGTTTTTGTTGAGGTACAGAGAAAAATATCAAAAAGAAAAAACTCTTCTCCCACATCTCCATCAAACTCAAAAGCAAGAGGCTTCCAGAAGTGGAGAATTTGTTAAAACCCTGTTATGATGACATTGAAGTGATAATCTTAGGCTGTCCTGAGCAAACTGACTACAAACTATCAATAACTATAATGTACTAAAAACTTGGTGAGTCTATTTTTATATTTGACTCAGAAACATCCTTAGTTTCTATGTCACACAGGATGACTTCCTCTAGGGTATCACAGTTTCCAAGATTCTGAGTAGTTTGCATGCTTTATGAGATTAAGACAGGGCCTGTGTCGGTCACATACAAACTTCTGTTTCTTGACTCAGGATCTTTGGAGCCTACAGCATGGATGTGATTACTAGCACCACATTTGGAGTGGAGGTGGATTCCCTCAACAATCCCCAGGATCCCTTTGTGAGAAACACCAAAAAGCTTTTAAATTTTGGCATTTTCAATCCATTGCTTTTCTCTACAGGTATATAGATTGTTTTTCAACTATATTAAGGTATTAGACATATTTTAATAAACATATAAAGCAAAGAGATTTCTCATAGTATAACTCTTGCCTCCCCCATCTTGCTTTCACTCCCATATAATCTGGTTCTCTTAATACCCATTGCATTTTCACAACACATGTGTTTATCCATCATTGCCACATGCTTTATTTATATGTTTTGATAGGTATTGGATGATCATGGCGTTTTTGTCTTTAATGTACTAAACTCATACTTTTTATTTATACATTAACATACATTAATTCATCCCTCCACCTCTTGAATTAAAGTTAATTTAATGTCATCTGCTTGAGATGTTTCTGATTTTTTGTTATGATGGTATATTTATTTTAAGAGTAGGTGTAGAAGTCTCCATCACATCTTTGGAATGAATGTAAATTCCCTCAACAACCCCAGGATTACTTTGCAAAACATACCAGAAAGCATTTAACATTTTGGATTTTCTCTAGAGCTATATAGGGTATTTTTTAAGTCAATAAATATTCAAAATTTAGCTAGCATATAAAGTAAAAATACTCACGGCATATACACACACTTGCATACACACACATACATACACAGACACTACACTACACTATACTCTCTCCCATGTCATTATAAAATGTTATAACACAATATTCTCCTTTATCTTTGCTTATTACACATGCCCTTATCAGTTTTGGTGCATGTTTAATGTTAAATTGTTAAACATGAAAAACAACTATGAAAAAACTATGATTTCTGCCCTTGAACCCATTTATATCAGGATTTATATTTATACATTTACATGTACTGAACCGTCCCTCCATCATTGGAATGAAATTGAAATGAATGTAATTTAATTCTTGTTTCATTACTGATTTCCTACTGTCTATATGTTCTTCATTCTCTTTTCCTTAACATCTGCTTTAGTATTGTTTTTCTTGAATGTATTTATCTTTTCCTTGAGGATGAAGTATTCCTTCCAGTATGTTCTGTAACATGGCTAAATTCATTTAGCCACACTAATCTCAAATAATATTTCTTTCTACTTTGATTATCATCAATAGTTTGTTGGTGTGTTAATCTTTTTAAGCAGGTCTTGATTTTTAAAGACTGAAATACATCTTTCTAAGCCCTATGATCTTATATGATTTGCACTGAGAATTCAGCTGTGACACTGATGGATCTATCTTGATCTGTGACTTGGTCCTTCCTGCATGCCTGTTTCAGTACACTTCCTTTATTCTGTGTGTTGTGAGCTTTTCCTTTAATACAACATAGGATGTTCCTTTTCTGCTCTTGCCTATGTGATGTTCTCCCTACACTTTTGTATCTACATGTATCTCTTTCTTAGGTTTGGGAAGTTTTCTTCTATGTTCTTATTGGGAATATCTTATATGACTTTGACATGAAAATATTCTCATTTCTCTATGCTGAAACAATCAGACTACTTCTTGATCTCCCAAAAAGCATCATAAGTTTTACCTATCCTCTTGATCAAATTGATTAATAACCATTACTGAATGGTCCTATTCTTATGTCTTGTTTCTTGGTCCTCATCTCTTCTCACATATATTACTCATTTGATCTTTGATGTTTTCCACTGAATCTTATATTTGAGTTAATAAATTTTTTATTTCTTTCATCATCTCATTGTTGTCTCCCTTCTGTATTCTATCTTTTTATGAAATTTATTTTAATATGTTGCCTCAATTTCCTTAATTCTTTCAGCATTTAGTGTTTTCTTGGAATTATTCAGAAGATAGGTATATGTTATTTGAATTTTTTGAACAAATTCATAATCATTTTGATTTCTAGTAGGAGTCATGTCTGCTTATGTTTTTAAGAATTGCTATTAACTTAATAATTATTGATGGAAAATTGGTTTTGTTTTTTCATCTTACTAGTGCTATACTGCTGAGATTTTTTTGTCTGTGTTTGCATTTGAGGTTAAGTTTTCTTGTTGATTTAATTCATATCATCTTTCTTCCTTCAATGGGAGTGTTTTGTGTTAAAGAAAGTCTAGGATTGAGTATTATTGAGATGAGTTTTTTTCTGTTAACCTTGTGTTCATGGCTCCAAGATATTCACTCAATCATTCTTAAATCAGTTGATCAATGTCTTCCACATGAGTTATTATCCATCAGTAAGACTGCCATGAAAATATACTAGTGGTTCATTAAGAAGCTATCTTTAGAAATTCTTTAATTTCTAAATATTTTAGCAACTAAGGCATACTCAATTCTCTCTCTACTATTTAGCTATTTGTACTATAAGTGAGAAAAGGGGGGAAGAGAAGTAAGAAGTAAACTTTGGAGGAACTAGTGACTAGTTGAATGTTTCCTAGTAGGAAATAGAGGAGGTATGAGTATATAGAAAGGAAAGGTAGAGACAAGAAAAAGATGGGGAAAGATGTGAAATTTTGTTTACATGTAGACTGGAATCAGATGGTTATAGCTGTGCACTCATATAATATAAAACAGTCTCATCTCTCAGAAAGCTGAGTCACAGAGATACTGGGAACGAGACCAGTCTATGTTCTATTAAAGAATAAAGGTTATAGAAAAAGGTTTGTTAAATAAAGAAATCATATAACATAAAAAGTGAGAAAATCAGGAATCCATATTGGCAGTGGACATGGTAAAAAATGAGTAAAACTATAATGGAGAGAAAGACTGTGGAAAAATTTAGATAACGAAATAACCTCGTTAGAATATGAGGTTATCTCACCAAAGGAGGATCCTCTGCATTATTCTCTTCACTAAGTCCTGCTCCAGAATATATTTGATGTTGAGTTTTATCATCAAGATGTTTCCTGGCTCTGCCCAATGAAGGTTATGGGGCCAGGAGTATCAGTGTGTAGTGTGGCCTATGACTATGTCTAAATGGTTTTGTGATTGGTGTTTTTTTTTTGCTAGTTTCACCCTGGGCTTGTTTTGTTCCATGAAATATGAATAGAATTAAATAAAGGAGCAGTTTTTTGTGTCAGTTGTATCAGTGAATGCTTTGAATTCCTGAGGTAATGATATAGAAGCAAGATGATTATAATTCTTGACCTACTTAGCCTAAGATCAATATGCCTCTTCAAACACAAGGCCCAGGGATGGAACGTTGTGGTATGCTGCTTGGCTGACAGGTCTAATGCTGCTTACTTCACCACAACAATGCAATTTTTGCTTATTTTATTCACATTATATTTAGTAATTTAGTCTGCTCCTCAAACATGTGATTCTCTTCTGCAGCACTCAGAGGGATGTAATAATGACTGTGCCAGAACTCATGGTTGCAGCTTGTGTATCCTTGTATATTGATGCTGTACCCTGGTGGACATACAAACCTGTTTTTTGGTTATAGTCACTGAGGAGTGGTGAAGATAAAGAGAACAAGCTATCATGGTCTCTTTTTTAACTTAATAGGAAATATTTTCTCTGCAAATATTTGTAAAAACTCTTCATTTTCATAGACATTTTTTTTAAGTTAAGAGAATTCCCTGAACATCTAATTTTATGAGAAAACTGGATAGGAACGGTTATTGGAGACCCTGTCCTAAATTTTCAGATTACTTCTGCTTGTGTGAACTTGATTTTTTTTTGTACCTCTTTGGATAGCATGCTTCAAGGTATCATGTTTCTGCTTCAAGGTTTTTTATTGATGAAGTCTCCAATAGTATGTATAAGTCACATTTGATACTATTTTACTTTGCATGACATATTCTGGTATGACCAATAAGATAGTATACGCCTTTGAAATGAATTATGAAGCTTTCTGTAATTTTGTAAGTTTGGACATTCCTTTGAAGAATTGTTTTTTGTTTAATGTAAATATTTTAGTAGAAGTCCATACTAAATTCCTGTGGAGAAAATATATTTTTTGTGTATATGTTTTTATTAAAATTTCAATATCTTTACATTGACAAGGATTTTTTTTCCTCCAGTTATGTTTGGTTCTATGTTAGTTTTGTAGGTTCTGACACTCTAGGCAATATTTGTGTGGTCTATTCTCCTGCCCAAGTAATCCTGCAGAAGAGGGAGAAAAGGATTTTAGGAGACAAAGTGGTCAAGAACATTACAAGAAAACTCACAGAATCAAATAACCTGGGCTCATAGGGGCTCACAGGAACTGAACTGCCATTGAGAAAGCCTGTATGGGACTGATCTTGGCACTCTGCATGTATGTTACAGTTGTGTAGCATGATCCTCTTGTGGAACTCCTATCAGTAGGAACAAGGGCTGTCTCCAACACTTTTACTAACTTTTGGGACCCTATTCCTCATACTGGGTCACTTTGCCCAGCCCTAATGTATGGGGAGGTGCTTAGTCTTACTGTAACTTTACATGCCTTGTTTTGTTGACAGTCATGGGAGACCTGCTTTTTAAACAGAAAAGAAGGTGGAGTGGATTAAGGGGTGTAAATAAGGAGCGGGGTGGGTGCAGTATTGGGAGGAGAGAAATGAGGAGATACTGCAGACAGGATATAAAATAAATAAATAAATTTACTTTAAAGATTTATCATATTAAGGTGTGATGAGCTTTATATATATTACAAATCTATTTTTTAGCTTGTTTCTGCCAATTTTGTTTCTGTCACTTGATTTAATTGTTTTATTTTTTAATTTTACAGTTTTTAACATTGATAAAGTAACTGCCAATAGGTTAAGTTAACATTTTCATCATGGTATTTCTTTTTCTCTATAGCACTCTTTCCATTCCTTAAAGGACTATATGACAAACTTAATATCTGCATTCTTCCTAATGATGCTACAAGTTTTTTGCAAAATTTTGTGAATAAAGCAAAAAAAGATCGACTGGAAGATAACCAGAAGGTAAAATATATTAAAAATTTATTTCAATTTCAAGCACTTCTGTCACTTGTCACACGTTCCCTATGGAAAGTCTCATTAAGATATTTGATGAATTTGTTCTGTTATACTGTGTTGTGGCTTGCCATCAAGTTGGGCAATTCCTTTGAGCATTGAGAATGCCACTTGAAGAACAAAGCTTTGCCTAATGAGACAAGCACATGGGAGAAAGTTACTGTCAGTAAGATGCCGAAGAATCAGTATCTAAGCAAATTTTTATTGCTCTGGGTATTTGGAATATTTGCACATAATCACATAAAATCCAGCAATGAGCTCCAGAAACAGCAGTCAATAAATATGGGATGTTGTTTAAGAATAGGTTAAGTAAACAACAGGATGATATTCTGGACTTTTTGCTAAACAAATGCATATGATCGAAAAAGAAACTGACAACCATCCAGTCAGGGGTCTGTCATCAATACCTTCAGATGCTCAGAATGAGGAAAAGCCCTGAGAAAAGGTGTTGGACATGACACCATGATACTAGAGTATGACAGACTTCTTGTTCTCCAAAATCTGTAAATAACAGTTTTTGTAACCGGTGATTTAGGCAAACATAACCATAGACTGGCCTTAAAAAAATAATTATTCATAAAAGAATTTAAGATCTCCATTTCATATTCATTTTTGACTTAACAGCACAACTTCTGACTTTGATATTTCTGTCTCTTTTCAGCGCCAAGTGGATTTTCTTCAGCTGATGATAAACTCCCAGAATTTGAAAGACATGGAGAACCATAAAGGTAATAAAGGATGCTTTGCAGTGTAAAGAGAAGCACAGCAGGAGAGATTTATTTTTGAAATGTAGGCAGGGTCACTTAAGCAGAGAAGGCTTCCTTTTAAATTGCAATGAGACACAGACATGTATTTAAAAAGCAGCAGCCTGAGGAACTTTCTAAAATCATGGAGTATCTGCATAAAGAAAATACCAAAATTATTGTACCTTTAATCTTTGACTGAAAAGCTACAACCATGCATTCTCAGCAGCATGAATGCCTAAACAAGACCTATATTGTCCCAACAACAGCTGACATTCCAACATAGATGAGGAAAATCTCATGAAAACCTATCTTAGATCAAGAGATACAGATAGATAACAACTGCTGAGAGAGAGATAATTAGTTTTCCCCAGGGATGAGTCCATGACTTTTTATCCAATACCAAATGGTCAACCCAGAAACAAATACAAGAAGGCAAGGCAAAACTAAGCAGACTCAGCACGTTGTATTTATATGATTTTTTATTTCTATATTAATAAAACTTCTTAAAGAAGTGGTACTAAATTTGAGGGGTAAAGTGTGGCCTTGGAATAGGAGGAGGGAGGAGAGAAAAGAAGAAATGAAATAATATTTTAATTAAAAAATTAAAATCTGAGGTTTTATTTTGATTATGTCTTTCACACCCCAAAAGCGTTCAAAAATATGGGGCCACCTGCAACAGTCAAATGCTGAGTCTCAGCCTCAAAAAGAACTACTAAATCGGAACCTCTACCTACAAATCTGTTTCCACAGCATCGAAACAGGAAGTACAGTCTCAAAATATTGCCCTCACTACAGTTCCTTTGTTGGAAGTGTATTTTCTAGCTTAAAGGACTGTGGAAATGTATTTTTCCTTTTACAATAACATAGTACATTAAAGAAGAAAACCAGTATTTACAACATGTTTCCTCTCTAACGTTTTACTCACTGTGTTTGGATTTAGTATTTCAGAGTAATGCTTCCGTTTATACATTAGTACTACAAAGTATCTTTTGGAAATTTTAATTATTAAATCCTATTGTTAATTGCATATTTGAAGTCATAAGAAATTTTGGTAGTTTTTAAAAGAATTTCTAAATTTAAACATTGTGATCATATTCTTTCCATCTCCCAAGGCCTTCCAGATCTCCATACCCACCCAACTATATTTTTGTCATAAGAGCAAATAAAAAAACAATGTAAGAACAAAATTGCCAGAAATCAATGATATAAATAAAACTACACCCAAAAACTCAAACACCAAATTAACCAAATCAAAGCATGCATGTGCACACCCACACACCCACACACACACACACACACACACACACACACACACACACACACACGCAAACACACTCACAAACTGTAGTAAAGAAAACTGGTATTCCATCCCCCAACAGGACAGTTCAGTTGTTAACCTTTTCACCAGTAGCTAGGTTTTTATTTTTTCATTCATATTTTTAATGTAACAAAATAAAATATAGTAAGATAAAACAAAAAGTAACATATCAAAGTTGGGAAAGACTAGCCAACATAAAAAAAAAAGATCCTAAAGAAATACACAAGACTCAGAGAACCACTCTTTTGCACACTCAGGAATACCAAAAAAACACAAAACTGGGAGCCATAATACATGAGCAGAAGAACTAGTGGAGGCCCAGGCAGGCCCTATCCATGCTGCCCCAGTCTTTGTGAGTTCTAGGAGTTTGTTCATGCTGATTTCTAGGGCATTGTTTTCTTGGTATTTTCCATCTCTGCTGGCTCTTATACTTTTCCTTACTTCTTTTTGATGAAATTTGCTGAGTCTCGAGGAGAGATATTTAGTGGAGACATCCCATTTAGAGCTGAATATTCCAAAGACTGTCACTCTCTGTCTAATATCTGGTTATGGTTCTCTACAATTGTTCCTACATGCTGCAGTAGGCGTCTTCTCTGAAGATGACTGATCAAGGCACTGATCTACAAGAATAGTGAAATATCAATGAGTCAATTTATTTCTTTTTTTATACCATTTATTTTTCGATTTTGCCCTTGATCACCAGCCTATCTAGTCTTAGGTTGTTGGTCAATTGAACAGTGCCTAGTCTTGATTCCATCTCATGAAGAGGTCTTAAGTCAAATTAGTCTTTATTCCCACAAGTATTATACTACATTGTTCTGCATGTCTTGCATGCAGAACATCATTATAGATAAAGTGCAGAGTACCTTACTGTACCAAATATGGTAGAATAAAATAGGTGAAGTTTCTTTGTAGGCATCAGTTTTGGTAATTAACACACAATGTCTAATTTTATTTTAGCTCTTTCTGATACGGAGATCATGGCCCAATCAATCATATTTATTTTTGCCGGCTATGAGACTACAAGCACTACTCTTTCCTTTATAATGTATTTACTGGCAACTCATCCTGATGTCCAAAAGAAACTCCAGCGTGAGATTGATTTAGCCCTACCCAAGAAGGTAAGTTGATAGACCTGGAGATAGAGGGAAAAGGCACAATCTCAACATGAAAATAGTTCCATACTTGCATTTGGAATTATAGTTAGTACAGTAAGAACTGATACTTTCAGCAATAGTGTCTGAAAATTCGACAGAGGGAAAATAAGTGTACAGAAAAACTAATCTCTGTAAATCTGTAGAGCCTGTAACATCCACTATTTGTAACTACATAACTCAGTCTAAACCATGCATAAAATCTCTTTAGACTTTTAATGATAAGCAAGTGTCAGACAAGTATTTTCTTTAAACTTAAATGGGTGTTTTGCTTACATACCTATATATGTATTTCATGTACATATCTGAAATGTGAGTAAGCCAGAAGGAGGCATCAGTTTCCCAGGAACTAGAGTTCTAGTAAATATGCTCACCATGTGGGTACTGTGAACTGAGCCTGCATCCTCTGCTAGAACCAACAATGCAATGCAATTAACCAATGAGGCATTTCCCTAGAACCTCAAACAAGTGACCTGATACCTCTATTATTATTAGTGGATATGCTATGGTCTGACTGCTGTTAATGGACCCTTGACTTGTCTCTGCTGGGTAGGCTGATTCAGCTATTCTCATTATTGCTCTCTAATCACATATTTCAGTTTGAACAAAGCAGATCATGGTGGCTTTCAACCTATGTGACACGCACTTCTTGTCCAGCAAGAAGGAATGATCACAAAATCAAGAATCCTCCTCAATCACAATTTATTGGAGCACTCGGTTGAAAAGGGGAATGGGGAAAAGGGATGACGAGAGAGAGTGAAAAACCCAAAGGCAGCTACTTTTCTAGGGTGAGAGGCTCGAATGCTGATTGGTTGATGCCATTCTGCTAGGGCCCAAGGCCACAGGACAGGTCAGGGAACCAAGTCTCTGAAATGCAAAACAAGGCCCCAAACACACTGGCCTGCAGGGCAGCATCAAAGGATTTGTATACCTCCAGGCTGTAGGACCGCTGGCACTATCTTGCCAAGGCGACATCCTGGCGGCTCCTTACAAACCTACACTGTTCACCTCTACATTATGTTAGCTTCAGTGTCTCACAAAGTGACAGCTATATATCATATAAGCTGTTTTCTCATCAATGCCCAAAATTGGATGCAATGAGGTGTAAGGGACCTACTGTGGGACAATGGTTTTATCCTGTAAACATTTGTTTCTTGTACTTGTTTAATAAAATGCTGATTGGCCAGTAGAAAGGCAGGAAGTATAGGTGGGACAATAAGTACAGGAGAATTCTGGAAAGAGGTTTCTGCAGTCTGTATTCATGACCGAGCCACAGAAGAAGCAAGATGTGATTGCCTTGCCAAAAAAGGTACCAAGCCATGTGGTGACTCAAACAAGAATTATGGGCTAATGTAAGTTATAAGAATTAGGAAATAAGAAGCCTGAACAAAAGGGCCAATCAGTTTACAACTAATGAAGACCTCTGTGTGATTTGTTTGGGACTTAACAATTCCAGGAACTGGGCAGGACAGAAACCTCAGTCAACAAGGTACCTATATTCTGGGACCAGCTATGTCGTCAGTGAGATGCCCTCAAAGCATCTTCAGGCCTCATACTCATGCTCTGTTTTTGTTTCATTATGGCAATGTAACAAATATCATGACCCAAAACAACTATGGGAAGTAAACAATTTCTTCAGCTTATGTTTTCATATGATAGTCTATCACTGAGGAAAGTCAATAAAGGAACTCAAGACAGAAGCTTGGAGACAGGGCTACTTGCCACTCCACTCAGCACTGCTCCTGACCAAGGTACTCCCTCACAGCCAATGAAGCACAGCAGGGACTATGGAGGGTGCTGGCTGCTCTCTGGTCCATTCATTGACCATAATTTAGATGTTCTCCAACAACCCAAGTTTATCCTATAAGGATACAGTACCACTTGCAATTGGCAGGACCCTGCTACATCAATGAACCATCTGGACAACACTCCCAGATATACACAAAGAAATCTAATCTAGTAATTCCTATTCGTTCATCTAGACTTCCTCAGGTTACTAGGCTGTGGGATATTGGAAGTTAAAGATTCATTAGAACACCATTTTAAGCACCAGTGGAGATACTCTATCAGGAACTAAGCATGGAGCTGTTTGGGCTTTTAACTGGAATAGCAATTTTTGCTCAATTAGTCTCTATTTTTATCCATTTAACCATAATGAGTTTCAAAGAAAAAAGATCTTACTGATACCTGTCACTGTAATTTCATATACTATTCCTGTTTACTATGGCACTGATTAATAAGAACATTCAAATTACTAATTTATAGTATTGTTAAATTTAATCATAGGATTTAAAAAGTGTGAATTATCCTCTGATGGATTGATATGGAATTTTAAAAAAGAAATGACAATTCTCTACATTATATTTCCACAGTCTGTAATTGTGGACTCCTTCCTTTATAAATTATCACACCCTCAATAACTAATTTATGTTGAATGAGATTGATATAATATGCCATTCATTATTACTGAAAAGAAAAATCATACAAAAGAACACTCAAGATTTGGACCTAAATATAAGCTTCTCTGAATATTCTTCAAAATTCACTTCATCATGCATTTCAGTGGCCCTTTAGCATGTCAATACACATGACTATTATAAATATGACTTATTAGTGATTAATCCAGTCATTAAGATGGTTGAATGAGGAGTTCCTACAAACATAAAAGTACTCTATAGTTTGGTATAAAATTTAGTTTCAAATATCAAATCATCAATTTTTTTTTTAAATCTTTCCAGGCACCTGCCACTTATGAAGCCCTGCTAGAAATGAAATATCTTGACATGGTAGTGAGTGAAACTATGAGATTATATCCAGTTGCTAACAGGGTTAGCAGAATCAATAAGACAGATGCTGAAATCAATGGTATGCTCATTCCCAAAGGGACTGTGGTGATTATACCTGTCTTTGCTCTACAACGAGATCCAAAATACTGGCCAGAGCCTGAGGAGTTTCGTCCTGAAAGGTATGAGGACCCTGAAAAGGGGAATGTACACAGAATAAGACTTCTCTAAATAGGTTAATATGCTCAGTCTCTTTCTGTAGGCACATTAATATAAATTGATATTATCTTGCATGTATGTTTGATTTTAGAATATGAGTAGTACAAGGTGATAAATAGTAGCAAATACATGCATTTCAATTGAATAAAAAAATGACAGTTCTATATTTTGTAATTTTGCTTTAGAGTCTCAGAACCTGTCTTAGTTATATTTTCCAATACTGTGAAGAGACACTATGACCACAGCAACTCTTATAAATGAAAACATTACATGGGGGCTGGCTTAACGTTCAGAGATTTAGTCTATTATCATCAAGACAAGAAGCATGGTGGCACACAGGCAGACATGTGTCTAGAGAAATAGCTGAGAGCTCTACATCCAGATCAGCAGGCAGCAGAAAGAGAAGACTGAGCCAATATACCTGGTTTGAGCCTCTGAAACCTCAGCCCACTCCCAGTGACACACTTCCTCCAAAATGGCAACAACTCCCAATAGTGCCAGTCCCTATGATCCTATGGAGCCATTTTCATTCAAACTACTACAAATACTTAATATCAATTTCACAAGTATATGAAATTATTGAATATATTGCTAAATGTGTATAGATATTTAAAAATATAAATTTTATCCTGTTTTTATAAATTAATGCTTTCTATGACCTTCAAATGCTGTTTTGTGATACATGCGTCTGTGTGAGTATATGTGAGAATTAGTGTATGTGTGTATGTGTCACAAAGAACAAGCACAATGAACCTGATTAGAAATCAATTAGATAATTTTCTAAGATGTTAGGTTTATATTTCTTTAATGTTGGTCATATTGTAACAAGAACTCTTGGGCACCTTCCCAAATGTAAAAATTACTTATCAAATATAAGAACCCGTTGTATTAGACACTGGTGCAGATAGACACTGCAGAAAGTCTCCTTTTTGATATTAATACGAGTCCTCTTATTCTTGTTTCTCTTCTATATTCCTCTCTCCATAATTCTTCAAGTACTTAACCTCTTTTTTCTCAAATTATTATTTAGGTGCTCATATGTATCGGTATGGATACATACATGTACATATATATGTTCCTATAAATAGCCTATATAATTCATATCATGCTCCTCATGTGAAAATGATCATTTAAGATAGATGCAGTTAAACTAGGAGACCAAAAATTTATACATACAGTCAGTTACCTCTGTTATAAAGTTCAGAATGCCTAAGATATTGTATTCTTAGCCATGTGTCTCTGGTGTAGGCATGTGTCTCTGTATAGTGCTTATGAGACAAGAAGAATTGACTTGCTCCTGTTTTCTGATTAGGTTAATTCTATGTCCCATCTATATAGCCACCACATATACATACTTTATCTTAGTGACCATAATATCAGACATTATTCATTATTCATTTCTATGATTGTTCCATCCTTCAGATAATATAAACTCAGGGGGTATCAATGACTTGGCCAGGAAGTGGGGAAAGAAAAACTTAAAAAGATATTGTTATTGGCCAGATTTTGGTAATGCATGCCTTTAATCCCAGCACTCAGGTGGGAGAGGCAGGCAGATCTCTGTGAGTTTGTGGCCAGCCAGGCCTATAGAACAAGTTCCAGGACAGGCTCCTAAGCTACTCAGAGAAATGCTGTCTTAAAGAAAAGAAAAGAAATATTATGATTGCAATCAAACATGATATATAAGAAGTCAACAGAAACCCCAGTGTTTCTCATGTGTGTGTATGTACTCTTTCCCAACAGTTTTCCACCAAGCTCAAGTTGTACATACAAACCAATGCAACCTTCACCTGACCCCAATGCTTTCTATAAAATAGTTTAGAAATTGTTTCATAATCTTCCTTGATACGTAATAACTCTCACAGAATAAATGGTTAAAAGTGTTCTAGATCATTTCCAGAATCAGCAATTCCCCTATGGGAAGGATAGACACAAATTCAGGGATAACAAAGTAGAGAAGTAACTGTGTCCTTGCTAACTACTTCATTCAATGACTTTTGGAGGTGGGTGAGGGAGTGACAGATATTGTGAAATGACTGTAATGAGGAAAAAGGGGGCTGGAGAGAAAGAGGATGAGGAAGAGGAAAGAGATTAGGCTGACTAAAATGGAACAATCACAGGAAGTAAAGAGAGGGTGGTGAGGAGAGTAGCGATTGGAATAGAAATAACTCATTAATAACATGTATCTTCTCCATCCACAGAGAGCAAATCCCCAACTCAAGTTTCAGGGCAATTTCTTCCTTCTCTCTCACAAGTACTTTGTGATGTTTATACACTGATAACACACAACATCTTTAATATTTTAAACTTTAAAGACACATTTCATTTCAAAGAGCATTCACCACACATCATCTTGTTAATATTAGGAGCTCCTTTACTGTAAAGATATAGAAAGAATATTAACTTCGAAATCTCATATTGAATTAAACACTCCATAATTGGAATATTGATCACCCTGAAGTGCTCTGTCTGTTTCTGGCAGAGGGATATAAGTGAAAACTGAAAACTACAAACATGTTTCTCTTGTGCATTTCGTGTTTTGTTATTTATGTTCTTGTTCAATTGTGATACCAGGTTCAGCAAGGAAAATAAAGATAGAATTAATCCTTACACATACCTGCCTTTTGGATATGGGCCTAGACAGTGCATTGGCATGAGGTTTGCTCTCATTAACATGAAACTTGCTATTGTCAAAATCCTGCAGAACTATTCCCTGCTGCCTTGTGAAGAAACAGAGGTGAGACAGAAGATATTCTTTTTGGGATGGTTTTGTTTTTTTATTTATAGGTGTTTCATTAACTTGTGTGTATATACATTTATTATACTGAATATATATAACATATATTGAAGATATATATTTATGTATGGATTATACTGCTTTATTTTTACCTTATGTTTCCTGTATTGAGAGATCTGTATAAAACCATGTGTGGGCTCTCGGGCGATTGAGTTCTGGAGCAATAAGTCTTTATCTAAGTTTAAATGAAAGATCATGATTATTAAATGAATATATTCATTATATTATCATGTATGGTATTATTGAAGCTGAGTAATTTTTCTTGTTAATATTATATAAGTATTCTACAAAATAATAGACTTTGTTATGGAAAAAGAGTCAGAGACATCTATTCCTACTTCGACTTTTAGAAGTTCCTCAGAAACCCCAAGCTAAACAATCACAGCTAGTACAGACCCATGAAGGCTCTATGATTGCTTCTTCAGTCTTTAAGCCCATATGAGATCTGTTTAATTGATAGTTTGGTACATGTTCACTACTATCCTTGACCCGCTCTGGTCCCAAAACCATGAAACAGATTTTTAAGTTATAAATATATATTAATTTTCTATATCAGAATGTCTTTCCCAAATCCTTTATCAATCGAGAGACTTTCAAATTTCCACCGTAGTTCCCTTTTATAAACACAGACAAAAATCCATGCATTAAACCATTATTCATGAATATGAAAAACTCCTTTGCTTTGCCATTTGATGCAGGTTTTCACATATTGCAGGGACTCTGTTCTAGACAATCGGGCATCCACCTACATTCTTATATATTCATATGTTTTCCTTCCCTCTTCATTCATCATTATATCTTATCCTGAGAGTTCAAATCAACCAAGCCACCTCCAAGCCAAGAACTTCCTGTAGGTTTTCTCTGTGAAATTTTTTCCTATCTTTTAGATATGTTATCTTCAGGCTTCCACTGCCCCTACGCCCATAACCCATTAACTAACACATGAACTTTCTAGTTTTATTTTCTCTGTATTTATTAATGCATCCTCTACTTTCTAAATCACCTAATATTCTTCTTTCCAAAAGTTAAAATGATTCCTCAAAGAACTTTAGTATATTAAAATCTATCAATACATTGAAACATTTTCAAACAATTCTAAATTTTAAAAATTTACAGAATTATTTTAACAGATCATTTCTTTATGCATTCTTTTAAATGTTTTATTAATTTTTGGAGAATTCATACATTTCAATTCATCCCATGACCACACTCACCTCATGTCATACTCAATGTTGTGCTCTCTCCACTATTCTCCTTAATTTTTAAGTCAATCAAGTTCACTTAGTTTAAGATTATCGCTCATATTTTGGGGTCTGGTGTGGAATCTTGCTGATTTAAGAGTGGTCACAGACTTAAAGAAAACAGACTGTATTTCAGAGCAGTGATCAAATAGAAAAGCTCCTCAGCCTAGGGTTACAAGGACATCATTGTGAGTTGAGTTTACACATGTTACACATGTTCTTATGGGATGTACACCTGGTGATTCAAGTCCTCAGACCTATTCTGTGTGTACTTTTAATGAAAGTATTACATTTAGAAATATGGTTGAAATGCTTCCTCTGAAGAACTTAAGAATCAGCAAGTGGAATCTTGTTGATTTAAGAGTGGTCACAGACTTAAAGAAAACAGACTGTATTTCACAGCAGTGATCAAATAGAAAAGCTCCTCAGCCTAGGGTTACAAGCACATCATTGTGAGTTGAGTTTACACATGTTACACATGTTCTTATGGGATGTACACCTGGTGATTCAAGTCCTCAGACCTATTCTGTGTGTACTTTTAATGAAAGTATCACATTTAGAAATATGGTTGAAATGCTTCCTCTGAAGAACTTAAGAATGGGTTGTCATTAACTTAAATGAAACAATGCCCCAAAAGTTTAACATTATGATTTTTGTGTTAAATAACACACAAAAGTCATTATGTTATCATCATAGAGGAGGAATATAATATTGTCATTTTCTCTTTGGTGACATGAGGGTAGCTGTCTTTCTGCTCTATACACGAACACAGTACAGATGAATGATTTTATTATCATCATAGGCAAGATTTAGCTATCTAGCAATCTACAAGATAGCTCTAGCTACCTACAAGATGAGTTTCTCAAACTAAGAGGTAACCTGTTTGTACATTTTTTGCTAATATAGGATTCTTATTCTATTGGATGGCCATCTCTGCCACAAACTGACAAGAATATCATTTTAAAAATTAATAAAATGAGTGAAAATTCCCTTTTATGCACCATCCTTGAATTTTAGAGATACAGAGAACTCATACCTTAAATATACCCAAAGCCCTTCCAATATCATTAACCCACAAGTATCAGTGTGGAAGGTTTAGAAATTGTTTAGAAATCAGAGTCATACGATAGCATTCACCATGTACAAAACCTACTTGTGACTTTCTTTCCAGTTTTACTGAATAAAAATTAACTTTATATAACCTGTTAAAATGTGTTTTCTGTGTGTTCACAAATGTTCTTTACAAGGTTCAAACTTTTACTTTTCAGTTAAAATTTATATCTCTAGGGAAGACATCATAATTTTGTTTCAGGCCTTTTACTGAATAGGTGTTCAATTTGTATGTTGAAGTGTGAATAGATTGAAGCATGTTTCCATACTCCGTATAAGAAATTCAAGGATTTTTGTGTTTGTCTTAGTAGGGGTCTCTATTTTTGTGAAGAGACAACATGATCATGGCAACTCCGAGAACAAAACATTTTTATTGAGGTTGTGGTTTAGCATTTCATAGATTTACTCTAGAGAGCAATACAGCTTGGAATATGGTGGTGTAAAGGCAGACATGTTGCCAGGGAAGTCTACATATTAATCCAAAGGCAACAGGAAGTGACTTGAGACACTGGGCATGGCTTGAACACATGATACCTCAAAACCCGTCTCTATAGTGACTTACTTCCTACAAGACTACACATTGTTGAGCAAGTCCACTCCTCTTCATAGTGCCACTCACTTTGAGGGCCACATTGATAAAAAGTAATTTGTTCAATTATAATGATAGATTTCATTCTTTCTAGGAAGCAGCCCATGAGGTTCAGGATTCTACAGAACATGCTATATAGCTCAGCAAGCCTTATCTTTGTATTCTGCCTCCCTCTTACTTTTAAATCCTGAATGCTAGGGTAAGAACCATGTGATAACACAGGAATAAGTAGCTATTTTTCTTAATATGTTGGTTCTATCAGCCTTCTGTGGAATTCGATAATTCATTTAACTTACCAATGTATTTTTCAATTATTTTAGGTTCCCTTGAAATTAAAAAAGACATTGCTTCTTACTCCAGAAAAACCTATTGTACTGAAGATTATATCAAGAAATTGAGACATAAATGAAGCTTGATTTTTATCTCAAGTTCTGATTTGTTCTTCAAAGAGTGCATACCTGGATTTTATTTACTCCTAAAGAAAAGTTAGATGAATATAACTTTAATCTACCACATTTCATGACAGAATCTTCAATTGTTTTTCATTGTCTTGATAGATTCTTGTTTCTTGTGTATGAAGGGAAAATGATTATTTAGCAATCCATATGTTCTTTCATATAAAAGTTTTCCCATACCCAAAATAGTGGTATGTGTCATTTCAATTCTGATTAAAAATTTTTATTAATTTTGTTAATATTATTTCCATTATAAAATCTTTGTCATTAACAGTTGAGTATTCCACTGACAATATTCCTTACATATTAATGAGTTGTAAGTTTCTGCATTAACCCACATCTACCTCACAAATACTTTATTTAGATCTGAGGCATATAATAGTGCATTCAAAGAAGATTCAAATTTAGAAGGCAATTTGATAATATGACCATTTATCAGGATAATAAATAGTAGGTTCATTCTTGGGCCTGTAAGCTCCAAAACCACGGGTCCTTGGCCTGAAATGCAGTACTCAGCATGTGTTTCTGCCCACTGAATGGATTTCAAATATGAGCAGAAAGTGGTTAGTTACCCCAATAATATTCATGACACTATTCTATATATGCACTCCTTTGCCATGTTGATCATTATAGGAGTTCATAGGATTCACTGCTGGTTAAGACTGTTGATTACTCCTCCCACACACACAAAAACCTCTCAAGTATCTTTCAGTACCATAAAAGATTGCCATCACGGAAAAAGTTCCCTGGTCGGTACAATGTTGACATGGCCTATGACTAATGTGTTTACTGTTTCCTGCAATAGGACTTTACTCACATGGTTTAGTAAGTAGCCAAGAGCAATGGCAGTATCTTGTATTACAGGTGGTCTTCAGGACACCACTGATGAACAATCTGAATGTAGATATCCTGCATATGATAAAGGGTTATTTATTAAACACCTTTTGCTTCTGGAAGGTGCACAATCATCAGTGTAGGGCATCATATGTGCATGTAAAGATTATCAAAGTGTAGCTTTCATCAGGGTTTGTTTCCATTGCTCACAAATTGTATCTAGTACCTTGAAAGGCTCAAAGAAAAAGTAGAGCAAACAGATGAGGAGAGATAGCTGATCCTTAAACCACGGTATCAGTGAAAAATGCCACTACCCACTGTGGGTGACTGCTCAAAAACTGTACATTCCATAAATTCCCGTTCAGAGGCTCCAACTGTTGGGTCTCCATTTTTCTCATGGCACACTGGCCACCAGACAATGAGGCTAAAGGGATCAGAAGTGGTTAACAGGGCTTTTACAGCTGTGAGTATGAGCGAAAAAAAATTTCTGGAGTAAACCTCAGTGAGACAGCTTAATTTTATCTCAGGGAGTGATGACACTATATAGGATGGGGACAAAAGCTGGAGAATCTTCTTGAAGGAGTAAGTCACAAACAATCCCACACCAGTTTTGAATTATGATTAATAGTATGGTTATTTACTCAAAGGGGAAAAACTTACAGATTACCGTCCCAAACAACAGCCCCTCTGCGTCATCAGGAAAGGAGTTTAGGAGCCGGAAGTGGAGCCAGAAGCCAGAGAGAGAGTGCAGGACAGCCACTGCTTTTTTAAAGAGAAAGATACCATGCCCCAATGGACTGGTATCTTGGCATCTATTGGCTGAAGGAGTGGAAGGAGCTCCCACAGCATCTCCCCCTTTTGTTTAAGTAAGAAAGTTCTAAGCCTACTATGAAATTATATACAATAAATACAAACCTATGAAATTATATACATTAAGTACAAATATGCTATTCTACTAGCTTAAGTCTTATATAATAAATAACTTGGCCAAGTCATGAGAAGAAAGTAACTACATTTATATAATCTTCAAACCCATTGAAGATCTGAGCAGGGAAATAAGGTTACCTGAGTAATTAGGAAGTAAAATCAAACAACTTCCAGAACATGTAACAAATCACAGAGACAACTGGCTACCTGGGCAAACACCCAAAGTCACGTTTGCAGCGTTGAAGCAACCAACTTTGGCTAAGGCCTAACGTAACTGACATACCATTTTCAAAGGCAAGAAACTTTTCAAAACTATCTTACCCTGTCTTGGCAGGATGTGACAATCCTGTTTTATCCATTTACAGATACTCTGTAACTCTGTCAGTAGTTGAGGTATGGGCATTTCTTTACCCAAAGGCCAGTTCTGCCAAGAATAAAGGCTCCAGGCAGAGTGTCTTTGGTGCTCAACATTCTCTCAGGAATAGATTGGTGTTGCCAGGAGCAATTGTGTCTCACTACCACAGAACTCTGAGTTAGATTAAAGGCCGTTTTCTACAGCTCTTTGAAGAGGTTGAAGATTATCTATCTATACTGAATATAATGTCTATGTATCTAAAGAACCCGACTAGTCTAATTATAAATGACAAACTTAGATGACTATTGATCTATATAATTCTCAATACCTATCTAACTTAAAGACAGAGACAATGAAGAACTGTGCAATAAATGAGGACAATGTGACCTCCAAATATAAACAATGTATAAGTATACATTGCAATATGGTAAATATATGTATCAGTACATAAACAATATATAAGTATCTTAATCAGAGATAGAAATGTACAATGCAATATGGTAAATATACAAATATCAATACAATATATATATATCAATACATAAAATGTTTTAAACAGAGGTAGAAGCATGCATGCATACAATAGTTAACATAATTTAAATTTGTATCAATATACAAGAATCGATACCAATACATTTGTCTAAAAACAATAACTCACAAATACAAATCTATTAATCTATTATCCCATCATCCAATTTTCTCTCTTTTTTTTTTTAAAGATTCCTGCGCTTATAAAATTCCTCCCCCAACCCTCAACTGTATACTAATTATAACCAACCCATAAATGATGTCCCTAAACCTAAGGACAAACTTTACTGGGAGAGGGGACGTCGTTCTCTAGAATTACTTCTAGCTGTCATGGGGGCGACGTACTTTCTGGGGGATCCTGTGAAAGTAAATGATGGTTAAATTTCAAGATCAATGGTAAGAAGATTGCAAATAGTCTCTGAGTATTTTGTGGAGGTCTGGTCAGAATGTTGTACAAGATGTACACCATTTCAGCTAACCACATTGGAACCGTCTTGTGCAGCTGGTACCAAAAACAGGTCTTATAGTAGCATTATCAGTATCATGACGTCATATCAACTGGGTGGAGTTGTTGTTATGGGGCCCCATCTTCTTCCTGGGAACTTCAAATGTCACTGCAGAAAAAACTCATTATTCATTGTGGAAAACTTAAACATTAATCATATAGACATATACAAACATACATATATTCAATGAAAGGCATGATAGATATATTTAATGAAAGGTATGATAGATATGAAGAAAAGTAAAGATGTTTTCTAAACTCATATTTCTTTCTGTCCCATATCATGGCTCTTGACATGAGACAGAAATTCCAGAAACTCTGGGGTTTTATTTTAACAACAGACTTGGAATTAGAGAGGGACTGAGCCAGAGTACAACTCCAAAACTAGCTCTATAAATTTAGAAATATGATTTAGTTTATTTTACTTACAGAACCTATTCAGTTTTCTTGATAGTCCCTATTGGGCAGTTATTTTTCCATCTGTCAGTATTCAAATATCCAGGGTCCCTTGAATTTTTCAAAGATGAGTGTTTTCCTGTGGAGATAAGAACAGAACCCTGCCCCCATTCTATATGTTTTTCTTACCACCTGTATGAATATCATCATTGTAGATGAACTGTCATTTCTCCTTTCCAAGAGGTTTCTCCTCTTCAAATCGAACCTTTATTAATTTTGATGGTATCCACAATTTTTCTTCTCCTGTGGAAACAAGAGCAAAACCCCTTCCCCAACATAGCACATCTCCTGGCTTCCATTGAGAGGTCAGCACATCTTTAAAATAAACAGGTTGGTTTAATTCAGAAGTTTTTTCCATTATCCAATGCCTCTCTGCTGCTGTTATTTCTTTCTCATTAGCATTAAGAATATTCAAGGTTAATAAAGCATTATGCCATCTATTTCTGGAGGTATCTTTCATCCCTTTCTGTTTGTTCAGCATATCCTTATAGTACGATTTGATCTTCCTATAACTGCCTGACCTGTAGGATTATTTGGTATACCTGTAATGTGTTGTATATTAAAATTAGCAAAAAAGCATTTCATTTTCTTAGATACATATGCTGGACCATTGTCTGCCTTTATTTGTGCAGGTATACCCATGATAGCCATAACTTCCAAAAAGTGTGTGATTACTGAATCAGCCTTTTCTGAGCTCAGGGCAGTTGCCCATTGAAACCTGAATACGTGTCTATGGTGTAGTGTACATATTTTAATTTACCGAATTCAATAAAGTGGAACACATCCATCTGCAAGATTTCATTCCTTTGAGTACCCTTTGGGTTACTCCCTGCAGGCAACAGTGTTTGATTATAGAAAGAACAAGTAGGACATCTCTTTATAATGTCCTTAGCTTGTTTTCATGTAATGGAAAACTCTTTCTTTAAGTCTTTACTATTGACGTGATGTCTTTTTTATGAAATTCTGAGGCCTGCAAAATGCTTCCAATCAATAATTGATCAATTTCAGTGTTACCTTGTGCTAGAGGGCCAGGCAGACCGGTATGGGACCGGATGTGTGTTATGTCCATTGGACAAAGCCTACTCCTAATTATGTCCTGTACCTGGATGAACAATGAAGTCAACTCTGTGTCATCTGGTATGAATTCAGCAGTTTCAATATGCAAGATTCTGCATATTGTGAATCTGTAACTATATTAAGAGGTTCTTTAAAATCCCTTAGCACCATAAGAATGGCATATAATTCTGCCTTCTGGACAGAATTATAAGGGCTTTGTTTCATCTTACTCAATTCTTCCAATTTATAACCTGCTTTCCCTGATTTATTTGCATCGGTATAAAATGTCTGGGCTCCAGTTATTGGAGCATCATGTACAATTCTAGGAAGAATCCAAGAAGTTCTTTTTATGAGGTTAAGTCTATCACTTTTGGGATAGTTGCTGTTAATTTCTCCCCAAAAATTAGCACAAGCTCTTTGCCATGGTTCATTATCTTCCCATAACTTTCTTATTTCCTCAGTAGTAAAAGGGACTATAATTTCTGCTGGGTCTATACCTGCTAGTTGACGAAGTCTCAGTTTGCCTTTTATAATTAATTCAGAGACCTTTTCTATATAAGTTTTTAATTTTTTACTTG